CATATTTTCTAAAAGTTTCAGCCGTGCGCCCTATCTACGTGACTAAGAAAAGGATTACTCAAAGTGAAAAACGTCATTCCGTCACCCTTGGCCAGGACGAATTGCAAGTCTGAGTAAAGACTGTGTGATTAATTAGAGGTAGGACATAGACAATACGAGACAAAGTCAGTCTTTGACTCCGTTCACTAGTTTCGTCGAGTTTGCATCATATCTGAGCCGTTAAAGTTTGAATAGATTATCATCTCATGTGTATGTACATGATAATCGACTCGAGAGTCATTATCTTGAAATGTCTTCTGTCCTCGAAGATGCGAGCAGACTCACATATCTGTGTCTGATGTGTGCACACCGACACCGAAAATTGATCAAGTAAACTTCGTCACCAATTTCCTCAAATGTTTCAGGTCTATCGCACTGACTTTTCTCCCTTGAGGACCAACCATTGTTTCTGCCATACAAACGGCATTATATATTGATTCTTCGACAACATCTGTCGTAGCTTCGAAAAGAGCATTGATAGTCCAATCGTCGACAAATCCTTCACTAGACCGTGGAACAGTCGCTGTCCAAGGATCATAATTTGATTTCAGTCCAACTTGAATTTCATTTGCTGTCGAGAAAGCGAGGAATATATCTCCAGATGAATTGTGAGCGATTCCGCCAACCCGTGCTAAACCTGGAGTTGCCCTCTTTGCAAGACGTTGAAGTTGTGTAGGATGTAAAGGTGCGTCTGTAGCAATGATGACGATTATGGATCCATCTTTCTTGTGTTCCTTTGCTTCTTGCAGACGAAGGTTTTCAGTAGCTTTGATGATTGCTTCTGGGTCTGTACGATCAGCTAATACTTTTGCCTCTTCTTCAATCATGAGACGGCCGATGGGTATACCTCCAACTCTGAAATCCTTTTTTGTTCCGTAATTAGCTTGAACTAAAGCAGCGACGGTATACGTCAGTTCGATCTCCTTGCCATCAACCAGCTTCTTTCCGGGAATAATTCGACTAGAGCTGCCTGTTCCACCTTTGTATCCAGCGCACACCATACCCGTTCCTCCGCCAGTATTACCTTCCTTGACTGGATCACCATTCGCTTTTTCAATTCCCTCAATGATACGACTAGGTTTTATCGGAAATGAGCCAATATCATTCAGATAACCGTCAAAAGTCTCAGTTACTACTGGAATAACGAACCAATCACACAGTCCAGTGTCTTTATCGTTATATTCTCTTGCACAGTATTCGAGAACACCTTGCACACCAGCACCAGTCGCGAAACTATTCGTCATAACGATAGGTACATGAAGTAGGCCGGTCTCATCTATCCAATGACTTCCCGTCATCTCCCCAGATCCGTTGAATCTAAAGATACTAGCGTAACAAGCTTTATGGAAGAAATCCTTTCGAGGAATAATTGTTGTTATTCCTGTATTTATCGCTTCGTGAGACTCGGTCGTTGGCTCGATGATAGACTGGGTATGGACTAGAACTCCTGGTACGTCTGTTAGTGAGTTGCTTGCACCGGTGTTGTACCGTCCGAGAAAGAGATCTGGAAGTAATTCGCGTATACGCATTCGACTCGCAGAGATGTCCGTCATTGGATTTGAAACTTTGGTTAGGCGAGTGCAATCAGCTGTTTTTGAATAAGTGACGCACTTTGGGAAGTCGGATCTCGTTGGTATTTAAACTAGAAATGAAGAAATATGTCCCAAAATCCAAATAAAAGTTTTAGGATAAATTTTTCTCTAATTCGTAGCAAAGCAGTTGTCTAATTCCGTCATAACTCAGTGATTAATTTCTTAAGCCCCCGTCGCGCCCCTCCCCCACTCAGAAACCTATTTTTGTCCAGGTATGTTCAATCTTGATGAAAATTCCATACAATGCGTATCTTGAGGTAACTTAGTGATTCTAGTGATTTAAGCCTCTTATCACTTGTTTTCCCAGAGTTATCCTTGAATTCGTGGTGAAAAAGTATGGTTTCGTACTTGAAAGATTCCGCCGCCATTTTTCGAGCTAGAAATTTCGGCTTGGTTTCAGAAAATAGAGAAATGCTTTCTCTATGTTGTGACGTTGTTGGATTTTTCAATGTAACTTTAGTTCTGGAGAAATTTAAAAAGTTTTCGAAAAGTCAATAAAATCTCAGTAACTTTTCGGAAACTTTTAAAATTTCTTTAGAACTAAAGTTACATTGAAAAATTCAACAACGTCACAACATAGAGAAAGCATTTCTCTATTTTCTGAAACCAAGCCGAAATTTCTAGCTCGAAAAATGACTGAGATATCATGGAAGTCTAAAGCGCTGTAATCGTGAAAAGAGATTTTGAGAGAAAACGCCGTGTACTGGTTGATCTACTCTAGGGCTTCTGGAAAAATGCTTGTAACTTTTTGACGCAACGTCGAACAGGGTTGTGCGACGTCTTATTTTGATCAGAAAAGTCTACTCTACAAGCGTAACTATTCAGAAAAAAGTTCAGTTGCATAAGTCTTCAGAAAAGAAATAATATTTAACGACCCTGTTTTCCGAGACTCCTAGAAAACTCGCTTGAAAACCAAGAGGGAGAGCCCTTAAGAAAGAATATATTAATCCGTATTTGATTACATCACATCATATGAAATGTATGATGATCAAAAGGAGAAAAATGAACACAAACAGTTACCTACATTGCGCATACATATACATATACACTGAACAATGAATGAAGCAAAAAACAAAGGTGAATGAACACTTCTAGACACTTAATTTTGTCGTTTCTTAACCACTGTGCATAATTCTACAATCGAGGATATACAAAAGCTATTCAAGTGTGACTCTGATTTTTTGTGCGTGTGTGTGTAATCATTTGTACTCTTATTCGATTCCATCATTCGCAATTTTTTCTTCATATATATCAAATCATATTCAGTACACAATAAAGTAGGAAGAAGAACAAGTAGAAGTGATCATATTCGTACATGAGTGAGAATCTTAAGTTTTTTGTACAAATGATGAAAAAGATTTAAAGTAAGTTTAAAATAAATATGAGCCATAAGTTTTGTTCTACGCTCTTCCTACCATCTATGCTAAAATTTCTCAACTGCCGGACGAATACCGGCGGAGTTACAGCACAAAAATCTTTTAAGACCGTGTAAAAGTAGAGGTAATCGGATTTCATTGCAATCTCATGTATTTTTACACCATTGGGTGCATTTCTGAGCGATGAGTCGCATGGTGCATGGAAACACGAGTTTTGTAATGATCCGACTGAAATTGTTTCAAAAAAATACAGCGGCTTCACAAAAGGTAGGCTTCGTCGTAAGTCTACAATGTAAAATTTTCTAAGAAAATCCGAAGCTAGGAACGTGGAATTTTTCCACTTATGCAACTTTTTATTTTGCAACTTGGGTAAAGGTTTAGCTCGGATTCGATCGCTTTTTTTAAAAATACAGACGAAACAAGTTGCAAAAACTAACGCTTCAGAATGAGCGAAAAATCTATGTTTGCATTTTTTCTCGCGCTTCTGAAGGACTATCGCGACCCATTTATCCAGATTTTTGTGTTCTTCGAGGTGCTCTTTCTTTTGGAGGACGAAAGGATGGGGATCGATAAGAGGCAAAATCGGCCTGCACTCAGATAAAGCTCATATTCACAGGGGTCTGATGTAGTTTTTCTCCATGAATAAAACTAGCACCTGAAAAAAACCCTTGTTTTGTACACTTATACCTTTTTTCTGTCTGCCGGTAGATGGAGCACGGTGTTTTGTACAGATCGAAAACGACATTAACGCAACCGAATTTATATCCACATTGTGAAAAGACCTGTAAGTCGCTTGTCCACGGTCGTAGAAACTTAGCCAGCATCTCATTTTATGGAGCATCAAAGGAGCTATCTAATGATATGGTTGAAAGGCTTCTGAAAGAAACTTTAAGATCACTAGGTTTTCTAGAAAACCGAGTTTTTCAGAAATCTTGATC